ACAAATGTTGATGAGATTAATATTCCACTCTACACTGTTACAGAGTACATACTTGGTTTGCCAATCAAGCAAACTGGAATCTTTCCCAGTATGAAGGCAGATGGACCAAATCATGTCATCCAGTATGGAGTTACACTTGTGATGTCATCACACAACTCAAGGTAAAGGCAATAATTATCTAGACTTAATTACACTGGAGCTTAAAAAAGAAAAAAATCACCACCAACTGGAAGAGTTCATTTAGAGAATGGAAGGAATCATGTGACTGTTAAGCTAAGGTTCAAACTGGTATATCAAAAATGACGCATGCAGGGCCTGTTTTCATGGAGGTGGCGGACCCCAGGTAGGAGAGTTAACCAGCCTAGGTGGGGTAACCCACCTGTCTATATATCTCTTATTTTATCGTAATCATGTTCACATGATAGGTAGGGTAACCCATCTAGACAGGTTGCCTGGTCTGCCAGTAAGGGAAATCCGATGGGCTAGGGATGTAATTTTTCCATGTACCCATCTTATAATGGGGTAACCCACTTAAGGGGGGTTGCATTCATGTTACATTTGCAAACACGTCAACAACTTCACATCGGATTCAGGGGTTGTAATATTGTAAGTAAATGCAGGCTATTTTTCAACCTCAGCTTGGTGGGTAACCTCACCTAATACTTGGAGTCACCCACCTTCATGTAAACAAGGCCTGAGAGAAACTTTTTTCTTGAAGCTTTTAGCGTTGGTTCTTTCACTTCAGGTACATTGTTGGACTGAGCAAAGACTTGAAGAAGGACTTTCCTCTGGCATCTGCTAATGAAAAAGATGAAAATGTCAACAAAGATAACATTGTGCACATATACTACAAGGTAACAATCCTGAAATTCTCAAATAAAACTGTTTTATGTTATGTTATGCATGTTAGTGAACTCTACATTCTGATTGGTTTTTATAACTTATTTTATTTGTTATTGGTGTTTCCTCTACTTTCAAGCTTCTATAATGTTTTTCTGATTTTTCTTCTACTCCACAGGGTGAGGACAGAGAATTACTCGAGCTTGCTCCACTTTGTGTTACATATTTCATTGTATTTCTTTATTTGGCATTTTCTGTTGGTAAGTTGAAAATTAGCAATAATTTTTTAAGGTCTATTTCAATATTATTTTGGTCATTGGACGAAATGGTTGTTTAGTTGTCCTCACATGTAAGTGGATGAGGAATCTGCAACTGTAGGTAAAGGAGATCATTGTATCCCTTGGATATTCCTAAACATTTTAGTTTGAGTCTGTCTCAACAAGGCATTATTGGTAAGTTGCATGTGCTGTTATGTGCATGTACCCTTAGGTGGCCAGGGAGTCATTACCAGAAGAATGACACAGTTCCTTTCAAGAGGAGCTTGAGTGTAAGAAATCTCACTGCCATAATTTATAGTGAATTTCGGATTACAAGAAAATATGATACCTGAATGCACCAGATATGTATTTTAATGTGAAATTTTTACCCCAGCCTATGGGTAATCAGTTTTTCAAGAACCCACTTAATCTTTTTTAAGTCCTAAATAATTATTTGCTTTGTTACAGGAAAGATAGAGATGGTGAAAAGTAAATGGGGCTTGGCATTCAGTGCAGTGATTTGTGTGATAGCCTCCCTTATCATGGCCTCTGGACTGTGTTCTTTCTTTGGCCTTGTTACCACTCTAGATAGCAGGTAGAAGCATGAACACGAGTTTTATTTTAACAGGTGAAATCATGTCAAATCTCCCTTAGACATTTAAGTAATGCAGACATTTAGTTTAACTACCCTTCAACCAATTTAATCTTCGTGGCTACCTCCATACCTATTTTTCACATATGATGTATTGATGATATTTTCCATTTCTTGACTTGCACAGTGAGATTTTCCCATATCTTGTGATTGTGGTTGGTGTTGAGAACATCCTGGTGATAACAAACTCTGTTGTTTCAACTCCAGTGGACTTGGAGGTCAAGATAAGAGTGGCTCAAGGTATTAAGTCATGTCCAAAGAGCAAAACTTCATATCCAAGATTTTATGATCGATTTGATACAATCTTGAGTCTCAAATTTCTTGGGAAAGACCATGAATGTTTCATGATGCAAAAAAATTACATCAATCAAGAAATAATGCTATTCATTGTTGTTAGAAGAAGGTGAAAAAAGGAGGAAAATCTGAGTTTCCAATGAGGAATCAAACCAGGTGGGCAAGTCCGTCCTCACAGCCGGTCAATTTTCCCAGTGCCCGGCCCGATTGGTGAATAGAAGTATAGTGAGTTTTGTGGTCAACCCACCCTTATATTTGTCTCAAGCGATAAACACAGATATGTGACAAAAGTCCTGTACACTACTGATCCTAATAGTATGCCAGGGGCTTGTTGCCGGGGGCTTGTTGCCAGAGGCTTGTTGCATATAAACTTAGTAATGGACTTGCGTGTGTGTTTGTCAGTCATCCAACGTTTTCATATTTTTATCACTTTGCAGGGCTTAGCAGAGAAGGCTGGTATATTGTAAAAAATCTTTTAACAGAGATGACCATTTTGTGTACTGGCTTTTTCACCTTTGTCCCGGCTGTGCAGGTACCAGCTTTTTCAATTTTCTTTCAAATTTGCTCACTTTGTGTATGTATCTCTATCTCTCTTTTCATTTGTCCAGTTATCTCCTCAAATTCCCTTTTTTTTTT